AGGATCTAGGCGCTGCAAAGCAGATTCTTGGGATGAGGATTAACAGAGACACAAAGTCAGGGACTTTGATGTTATCACAGGCTGAGTACATCAATAAAGTACTCTCCAGGTTCAACATGCAAAATGCTAAACCAGTACGTACACCTTTAGGTGTTCATTTTAGACTCTCCAAAGAACAGTCACCAGAGGAAGAACGTGCACACATGGTGAAGGTGTCGTACGCCTCAGCGAAGTCTGTATATCATGGTTTGTATTAGACCAGATATTGCTCATGCAGTGGGAGCTTTTAGCAGGTACATGAATAATCTGGGAAATGTACACCGGGAAGCAGTCAAATGGATCATCAGATATATACGGGGTACCACAAACAAAACACTTTGTTTCAAAAGTGGAGATGCGATACTGACAGGCTATGTAGATGCTGACTTAGACGAAATGTCGACATCAGAAGAATCACTACAGGATATGTCTATACTCTAGGAGGAACTGCAGTGAGTTAGGTTTCTCAACTACAGAAGATAATTGTTCTCTCCACAACTGAAACAGAATATGTCGTTGTTACGGAAGCCAGCAAAGAGATGGTTTGGCTCCAAAGTTTCTTGGAAGAGTTAGGCAAGAAACAAGAAAACAATGTCTTGTATTGCGACAGTCAAAGTGATATCTATCTAGCAAAGAATCTGTCTTTTCATTCCAGGACGAAGCAAATACAATTGCGATATCATTTTATCCGGTCTCTTCTGTAAGATGAGATTTTGAAACTTGAAAAGATTAGTGGAGCTCAAAATCCAACAGACATATTAACAAAGACGGTGACTACGGACAAACTGAAGTTGTGTTCAGCTTCAGTTGGCATGCTAGAGTAACAAGACCAGAAATGTTGTTGCATAGATCGAGGTGTGAAGACATATTAAAATCAGTCTTCAAGTGGGAGATTGTTAGAAAAGTCAGAAAAAGGCTAGAAAGGGGGGCTATTTTTTCAAATGAAGAGCATCGATTTCAAAAATTGGGGACACCGAATTTTAATTATAATTGTAATAGGGTTAATTACACTTTAGTCCCTACACACTTTAGGGTATTTATAAGATTAATCTCTAAGCTTCAACTATAAATACCCTAACCCATTTAGCTTCAAAATCATCCCAAATCATCCCAAATCATTTCTTTCTCCCAATACTAGAGAACTTTCTTGTGAGTAGTGAGTGTTTTGTAAACACCTGTAAATTTTCTTTCTTTTCTTTCTTAATAAAATATCTACAGCAGTCCTGAGACGTAGGCATAATTGACTGAACTCCGTTATCAATTTCGAGTATTATTTTTTCGCTTTTATTTTGTATTCTCACTAATCTGGTTATAGGGAAATTACTTGTTTACTCGTTTATTTTTCAACATCTGACTTCACTGCAATACCCCATTCTGCTGTCCGTTCAACTATACAGTCCATACTAGCTTTTATCGAGGACTGTCCATTTGAATCTTCCCCTGCAGTGCTACTCCCATTTAAGTTTTCGATGGAGTCGTCATCAAACCTTATGATCTTAGAATTGTTGGAAGCTTCTCCTTCCAAAGCTAACCACTTATCAACAGGTTGATTAGGCTCTTTCCTTGTAGCAGTAGTGATTTTCGTTGCTGTTCCGTCCTCAATGTTCCGAGTTCCCAAAGATTCAAATAACTCAATCAATCTCTAACGTTCCCTACTTGATAGACTGTTTGGTGACGAGGGACTAAAACTTGATTCAGATGACCCCTGCACCCCCATGGCCGTTCCTTTCTCCGTTTCCAACTTCTCTCCGGTGAATGCAGGTAAGCTGCATACAATAACCAAGTCAGAAATGATCATTAATCAAAGTAACTTTTTATCAAACATCTCCCATACTAAAATTCAGTGCTGGAGAAGTATCTCCTATACGAACTCTAGAACACATGAAGAATACATGATTTTAGGAAACTGTACACAGAATTATACCTACTTTTAAATGAGCTCAAACTTGTAAAGCACTTTAATGGCAATGGAGACGGTGACACAGCTCTAAATTCATTCTAGTTCCCAAGGTTCTGGTTCTGGTTTCTATTGAATATAATAGCAGGATAATGTTTCCAAGCTCCAATGGACATGAGATTTTTACGTGTGGCTAGTTCAAACAGATACATCAAGATCGTCGATTTTTCCATCAAATCTGTCAGAGAAATTGTCACATTTAGATGAGGAACAAGATTTTTATCGTCACAGGAGCAAAGAAAACAGTACCAGATTTGTGAGGCTGCAATGCGAAGGACCCTTACGTCGAGATTCAATGAAGATAAATTTCACTTTCACCCTCACTGTCTGCAACTTTGGTATGTTCCTTGGGAGACAGATACGAGCAAAAACGGATTTTCGTTTTACGAATATCATCAAATGAAGATGTCAAGATCAAGGACCACAGCGTTAACATTTGTTTGGTTTTTGATAGAATCCACGTTTTATACCCATCACCTGATCGATGGTGGATCTAGAAATATTTTTCAGAATAAACACATATATTAATAATATAATTTTTTTATACGAGATAGGTACCAATAAAATTTCACGATAGACACCATCAGTACAATGAACAACAAATATAAAAAATTTCGAATTTCAAAATAGACAAGTGTTGACCATAAAATATACATTTATCCACCATTGCCACCATCAACATCACCCCAACTTATGTGACATAAAATCATGTAACAACATCAATATGGAAGCTGAGATTAAAATTGGTAATTTAGATTACATAAAACAAAATCTCCAACTTCTTTTAAGAAGATACAAATACAATCACATTGAATAATGAGAGTCATTATTGAATATACAAAATAAGATTCAAATCTAGGACCAGTCTTTGCTAACTGTGTCAAAATTTTATTGACCTAATTATATATATATTATATGTATTAAATTCATATATATATTGAGGGTCGTCAATAGTGTATATATATATATATGAAATGAAACTAGTAATTAAGTAAATTAATTAATTTAAATATAATACATTTCCATTTGACCGTATGAAAAAAATGTAATATTGAATATAGAACAATTGTTGATAATCACGCTATATTAACATGTTATTTAAAAAAATGTCAATTTTTATTAAGGGTAATGTATAATGTATTTTCTGAGATTTTATTTGTTTTTCATTTCGGTACTCTACATTTAAAAATGTTTATTTTCTGAGATTTCAGTCCGAAATCAAATATTATATAATATAATCAAATAATTTAATTTCTTTTTTAGATGTGACATTCAATGTAGTATTATTTGATGAAACTAATAAAAATATTAATATTATAACTGATAATATTTGTTTCAAAAAGTTAAGATATCAATATAATAGAAAAATTAAATTGTCATAAAAATAAAAACAAAATTACTTTGATTTTTTTTCTAACTCGATAATAAGATCAAACTTTCATATAAGTCGATCTTTCAAAAACAAGTATGCCTTGCCAGCCTATATAATATGAATAATTAATTATATTTAGAATAATATAATATTAATTTTATAAAAAAATAAATAGTTATTTAATTACTTTATTTTATTTCTAAATGAAATAAAAAACTATAGTGTGATCTTTAATTTTAATCACAATTCAATTTAAATATTAATTTAACTAAAAATATAAAAACAATATAGTTTGATTTGGTGTCTAAACATTAAACTCTTTTTTATGGAGATTTTAGATTCGATCTATCTATTAACCTTGGGGTCGTGGGATCGAGTCTCACGGTGGACAATTCATAATTCAGAGGTATCCACGGAAGCTGCTCTCAACCTGGTGTTGAAGGCAGCCTACTAGAGGGACTTAAAGGGACCAACGGGGGAGATTACAAAGTAACTCAACACTCAATTTAACTCGAGTGAAACCCCATATGTAATTTCATTACCAAGAAAGCGAAAAGCGTAGCTGGAAGATGGAGTGAACTACTAGGGTCCGCAAGGAGTTCTTCAAAACCAGGGTCCGTTAGGAGGTTCTTCGAAGTCATGAAAGCGTTCGGGCAAGGAAGTTTGAAGTTCGGAGCATATGGTTTCGCCAGGAAAGGTAAAGGATTCTTTCCCATTACATATGGGAATAAAGGTCAGCTAATTTTATCAAAATTCTAATATAATGTAGTGGCTAGGTGCTTAATTCCTTGGATAGGATATTTAGAGTTCAAATCCCTACCCACACTCAAGTGTAATAAATTCTATTAATTTTATTTAACTAATATAGTGATTATTAGTCGAATAATTTTTTTAAAAGTAATAAACGATTAAAACCAAAAATATTAATGACTAATAGTGTAATTTATATTTTTTATTATAATAATTTAATTATAATTACAAATTAGTCTACTTAAAAATCAAAGGTATAATAATAATAAAAACATCTATCCTCAATATTTAATGAAACAGTCACTTGACCCCATTTTTTAGAACATTTTAACCCTCATTATTTTATTTTAGATCGAAAAACCCTCTACAAATAAAAATTATGAATCAATAAATTATCAATATTCTAAAATATAGACTTTTTTCCTCTATAAAAAAACGTTGGGGAGGACGTAAAATGCTTCAAAAAGAAAAAATAATGGTTAAAGTGACTATTTAGAGTTTTTCATCTTAAAATATAACTTTACTATTAAAAAAAGGATTAAAAACCAAAATTACTATTTAATATTAGAAACATCTGCCAAAATTAAATCATTCCATCTATCATATAGATTCATTATAGAATATGACCTTCAACTTAATATAAAATTAAATAAATTGAATGCCTGCATCTTGATATGCATAATGCGTCATGTATATAATTCGCCGAAAAAGAAATTGAAACGCAGAAGACAAGAATCCGAACCAACGCAAGAGATGTGCACTTGCCAGAAGCTTGAGACGTCCCAAAAATATATATTCTACTATTTAATCTCAAAAGAATTCTAATGTAAATTTCTCTGGCCCACAATTTGTCTCGTTATTCCCCCATGTAAGTATTTAAGAAAAAAGAAAAACACTACATTTTAATAAATAATCAGAATGTAGGCAGAAGCAAAAACAGCATAGAAGGCATCGAGCCGTGATTAAAACCGAATTTGTCACAGCAAAGTAATATCGAATGCCTATAACAAACATCCTACGACCCAAACATACACACATACCATTGGTGGCATTGGCATTGCCCCCCATGGCCTTTCCCCACTTCAATCTTCAAAGGAAGGCGTCCTTCTCCAGCAATTTTACTACCTCGTTCTGATTGTTGAGCTTCGCAACGTCAATGGGAGTCTTCCCATCCATGTTTTGGAGAGTTCTGCAATCATCATCAAAGCAAATAGTCATTACTCACTTGGAAGAGGTCGTGTCACTATAAATGTTTAACCACTTCATTACTTACACAGCAGCACCATTTTCCAGTAGAAGGGCCACACACTCTTTCCTTCCATAACCTGCCGCATAATGAAGTGCAGTATTCTTATTCTTGTCCAAAGCATCAACTTTTGCCCCAGCTTCAAGCAGGATTTGAGCACATTTCTCCTGAAATAAAACCAAAATTGTATTTTTTGTTATCCCACAGACAACAAACCTAGAATACTAGCTCAAGCAACTAATAATTTAATCTCGTACAAACTCATGTAAACTGCTAGATTATACCCATCTTTTTCTTGTTTTGTCATGCATAGCCGCAATTTGGTAGGATAAATCCCTCAAAAGAAATAAATCCATCATTTATTAGAGGAAATATAATGAATATGCCCACTCGATGCCAATAAGTACTGTAAAAACAGGTAGCAAGCATTGCTTAGTAGCCAACAGATTCCATTCTAAGCTAATATCAAATAAAGTAGTAAAAAGAAAAGCCTGATTGATTTGTTTCAGTCTTTCGGATATGTATTAGGCATTAGCGACAAAGATCCCAAGATGAGATGCTACAAACAAAAGGTTGCTTTAATCCAAGTCCTACATTCCAAACTGCTTTTGGCAGTCTATTATTGGGTTCCAATATTTGTCCGTCTTAAAATTTCCACTCAATGAGGCTATTAAGAAGCCCTTAGTGCATTAACAAGTGTAGTTATTTACTTATTCATGTATGAGGTAGAGATTGGTAATGAATACTTGCATTACTGATTAAAACCATCTGATTTGTTAGATAATGAAACTACTTCATTTGTTAGATAATGCAGCAGCATAAGAGAGGGGCGAGGGGGAAGGGGAGGGGAGGGAGGATGGAAGAGTGATTCGGATAAAAATTATTATTACCTCGCCATAACCACAAGCAAAATGCAATGCAGTCCTTCCCTCTGAATCTTCTTCATCCTTTCAGCACCCGAAGATAGTGCAGCTTTCAGACCCTGAACCATGAATACAGTCAAGACATTTCAGATTGCCTGTCAAAGGAGAAAACATAAGTAGAAAATATTCATTCTACCATACTTCAACATCACCAACACTAGCACAATTATGTACTATTGACTCATCCTCATTTCCTGCTTCGTCCTCTTCACCTGCCGCAGGGTTATCAGCAGAAGTGGCTGCATCTCCTGAAACAGCAAGACCCATTGCTTCACCCAACTTCTGCAGGACTTCTTTATCATTCCAATACCTAAACATTAAAACCTTTCTTGATTCATTTACTGAAGAAATCGTAGGATGCAATATCATACATCTAAAAGAAGAAAATGATGTGTCCACAAGCTATCATAATGGTTTCCAATCTCCTAGTATTTTACCATTGTAATCACTCACCTCAGCATTGCTGCAGGACCACCACTCTGTATTTCTTCTAAAATAGGCTTCAAGGATGGATCTTCTTTTATACGAGCCATCCTTTCCTCGATCTGGTCCTTTTGTTGAGGATTAGCTAAACTGTCAAGCATGCTAGACATAGCTGGATCCTGAAGGACACGAAAATTTTCATCTACCAGAAGTGATTCATGTAATTTAATATTAGGGAAAAAGAATGGAAGAATCATTAATCCACTCCAAGTGGAAACTGAGCCCACATATACCTGCATTAATTCATTACCAAGACGCTCAGCCATGGTCATAAACTGGGGATTCTGCATAACCTGTTGCATAGTTGAATAGTACTGCTGTGGATCGAACTGTGGAATGGTCTCTTCAGTTGGTGCTCCTTGAAACGTTTTCATGAGCTGCTCTGCCATTTGATTAAATGAAGGATCTTTGGCTATCTGCTCAGCTAGTTCCTTGATACTTGGATCCTAACAAACCAAGATGGTTAACATCTATAAGATATAAATTTGAATGCCAGTCCATAGCAATTTCGTTCCTTGCTGAAAATGTCAATTAACGAGATCAGCCAGAAACTTTAATATACTCTACTACTGCAGCATTAGCAAGGATACATCTCAAAGAACGATCAAATCAATAAGTTCACAACATTTCCAAACAATAATTTAGAAAATAAAAGGAGAGATGCTTACATTAAGAAGGCCACTCATGGCTGAGAAATCAAACGGATTTGGTGGAGCAAACCCAGGACCAGGCATAGTGGTGGCAGGGGCAGTACCTGCTTGTGCTTGTTGTGATCCCCCAGTGGTGGATGTTTCGGGCTTTGAACTTTTGTTCTCTGTTTTCAAAGTCGATTTCTCATCTAATAAATAAGGAGAAACATAAAGAATAATCAATCCATCAATTCACTATCTTCCAAACCAAGCCTATGGATTAATCCACATTAACCATAAACAAATTGAAATTACTCAATCCCTAACACAATTGTTATACCACAAACTTAGTAAAATGAAAAGGAATAGGAAGCATTTCCGAATTGAAAATCAGATCAATTACTTCGTTGTGAAAAAAAAGAATAATCAGAATAACCTAAAACAGTAAATTAAGCGCCGTTTAAGATGTAAGCATGAACTCTCCGATAGATCTCACAACAAATTCCAAATACCAATAAGGAAAGAAAGGTAAATCTGGGATTATGCTCACCGGCAGCAGTGTGTTCCTTCTTCAATCGGAAGCCATGGTAAAATAGCTGAAAACAACAAACAAGTTTTAGAAATGAGTAATTTAAAAGAAAAAAATTAATCAGAAATTAGATTGAAACATTGCAGCCAATTTTTTTTATAATGTGAGATGAGAAATGAAAAAGATAAATAAGAGAATTGAAAACCCTTTCTTCCTTTTGTTTCTGACAAGGCACACTAGTATGGGAAGCTAAGAACCAAAGGCTTAGGGATTTATAAAGCAACTAAAAATAATAACTAATGAAAATTTGGTGTAATTATATTCATTTTTTATATTTTGAAGGTGCTTTTTTAATATATTCTTATTTTTAAATTATATTTTCTTTGTTATATACTACGATCTAATTCTATTATTAATCCACATGTTATGTGTAAAGTATTAATTTATTTTTATAATTTAATGTGTTTGTTTTTAATTTATGTATTTTTTATTTTAAAACTCATTTCTCTTATAAATTGTTGTCATTAAATCTATTAGGTCGAATTTCTTAATTAGTTTATACATTATGTAGAAATTATGAATTTAACCAATATTTTCCAATTTAATCATTTTAAGTCTTAAAATGTATAGACTAAGATAATCAAATTGAAACATATGAACAAAACCCATACCGTACATATTATTCAAGGATTAATAACATAATTTGACCCAATTTTATTGTATGGTTAGGCCATCTTCTGTTTGGTTCTTTACGCCATTGTAAATGGGCTAGATTTCCATTTACAATCCCATGTTTTAAATGGGTCGATGTAAAATGCTCCACAACTTTTGAGCCTTCCTCTTATAGTTAAAAGTCGTTCATAAAATTTAGTAGTCAATAGCAATACATGTTTTCAAACTATGATTATCATATTAAATTAGTCTGTAAATTTTTTAGAATTTTAATTTCAACTTCGAATTATTATTTTTGTATTAAATTAATCTCTAAATTTTTGAATATTTTATTTTCATCCCCAAGTTATAACCCTCATTTTATATTAATCCCGAAAATATTCTAATTTCATTCCTAAACTTTTGAATGATTTTAGGGGATTCTATTGGAATGTTCATAAGGTTGGGAATAAATTTAGAATGAGAGTCATAGTTTCAGAAAATATAACGCAATTAATTCTAAAATTTGAGTCACCGAGTTTATAATGGGATTAAACTCTCATTTAGCCCCCCAAAGTTATACTTGTTCTGCACTTTAGTACCTAAAGAAAGATTTTATCATATACATTACACACCACTTTTGAAGTCAGTGGCCATGTGGTCAAAAAACATAAAATAATACACTGATCCCACGAGCAAGATTTTTTAATCCAAATGTTGTAAAAGTATTTTAAATGATTTTAAATTAGCACAAAACCATTGGTTTCACCCTATCTTACAACAAAAAATAAGATAGTTTATCTTTAAATACTTGCATTAACTTATCAAAATTTAATAGCTAACAGCAACTAATAGCATAACTATCAACAAAAACAACGGAGAGTGCCTTCATCGTTTACTGACCCATTATTGATATGCGTTGTAAAAGATATCAATACAAGTTCAATACTTGGTGTTAATAAAGAACAAGATCAATGGACATACCTCAACTAGTTCATCATCAACGGACTCTTTATTTCTATATATAAATAAACGATTAATCATAATCCTCAACTAGTTCATCATCAATGGTAATACTTGTAGTAATCAAATAAGAGAGATTGGCTTATAAACAATTTTTCCAAACATAGAAAAAAAGAAAGTAATCGATGTATGATTGATAGTCGACATTAAGGTTGCCACCAATGGCGACAAAGAGAGAGGTTTTATAGTAAAAAAATGACTAATTTTTTTTATTTGTGGTCACTCTTATAGAGAAAATGATTTTTAGTATTATTTAACAAATTAATTATCTTTCTATCTCATCCACCGATAAAATATTAAGTATTTAAATTATCATTGGCACATTCAATTTAATAAGATAATATATATTATAATTTAAAAAAAATTGTTACATAAAATTTCAACCGATATTATACATAACATTGAACTGATTATATAAAATCTCAATTAAGGAAAGGTTCATCCAAATCTTCTTTGATTTAAATTTCTTTCTAAATTTCAGTCTAATGTCTGCGTTAATCTTGTTTTATATCCTTTTTTGTTGATCATTCTAACAAGAAAGGAATATAATTTAGTATTCTTACCTTATAATAATATGTAACATTAAATTAAATTAAACAATAGAGGACCAATCATATAGTTGTTGAGTAATATTTAAAAAATAAATTATTTTTTAGAAAAAGGTAGGCTCATGTTGCCTCGCCTGCTCTTACCAAAACATTAAAGGGTAAAGTATACAAGTGGTCCAGTTATAAGATATTATTTGGTTGAGTTCTTCAACTGTTAAAAGTAATAAAATTATTCCTCAATTATAGGAAAGTATTTATTTGAGTCTCTCGATTATTAAAAATTACCAAATAATACTCAACTATTCATTATGTTCTAAACTCATCATTTTTCGCTAAAAAATTAACGATCAGCTGATTTAGACGTTAATATGTTGACTGGGATGTGATAAAACTTGATCTTCCAATCTCAAACGATTATTATATCTTAGTCAATATATTAACGTCCAACTCAAATAATCGTTAATTTTTTAACAAAAAAAGATGAATTTGGAACATAATAAATAGTCAAACAACTATATTTTAACTTTTAGTAGTCCAAAGACTCAACAAAATAATTTCCTATAATACATATATTATTTTATAACTTTTAATAATCAAAATATTTAATAAAATAGTATCACATATTTGGAAACATTTGTGTACTTTACCCAAAATTAAATAGAAAGAGACCAAAGAGGCAAAGGTGGCGTTCTCTCTTCAACTTAAGTGTCAATCGGACGAATCCGCTTATCCACAGTCCACACCTAACTCATCCCGGCAGAAATTTCGATTCACCGCCGCCGCTGCTTCCTTCCTTTTTCAGGTCGGTGTCAATTTTACTTCTTCCCATTTCATAAACCGTTCGACACTCCGAATTATTCACAAATTTCGATTAAAACCTTTTTTTATATTTTAAACTAAAATTTGAAAATCGTGCACTGATCTGATAGAGTAATACTGAGGATCGCGCTTTAGGGAGACCACTGATCGTAATTCGAGCTCCCATCGTCATCACTAGAATAAGTAAAAAATATTTTCTTTTTTTGTATGTCTTCGTCTATTGATTTCTACTCCGTGGTGGAATTTGGTGGTGGCAATTACGGAGCAGAAGCGGCTTAACGGAGATGCAGCACAGTGGGAGCTTGTCGAGTAGTAATAGTTCGTCAGTGAGAGTACCGCCCTTGTCTCCGCAGTCTCAGCAGTCATCGAGGCGGCTGAGCTTGTGCTCGCAAATAGCAACCCACACGTCCTCGATTGTGTTCCCGGAGAAACGTGCTAAGAAGCATAAAGCTTTCTCCAAACGCAGCGAAGGCCCTATCGCGGATGATCAAAGTGATAAATCCAAAAGGGAAGAGCATCGTATTGATATTGGTGGAGGGGATGAAAATTCCGATTTGCTTGGCTATGTAGTTTACTCAGGGAAGCTCATTTTGGATAAGAGAAAGAATGTCCAAAATAATAATAATTCCTCCGATATAGAGCAGGATTCTTCTACTGATATAGCCAGCCAAGAAGCTGTTGCTGCTAAACTCACCAGCAAGGCATTGATTTGGGGTTCACATGTATTGTCAATTGATGATGTCATCTCGGTAAACATTTAATCCTCTAGAATAGATCATTCCAATGTATAGGTTTATTTTTGGGTTTTAGTTTGCAATCAGTCTGTTCAGTATCTTCACATTTGACAGGTATCCTACAATGTTGGTGTTAAACATTTCACTGTGCACTCTTACCCTCTAAAAAAGGCAGCTTGTGGCTTCTCGGGATTTATTAAACCAAAGAGAAGGCGAAAGGATTTTTGTTTCTTGGCTTCTAGTGTAGAAGAGGCAGTTCAATGGGTTGGTGGGTTTGCAGACCTGCATTGTTACATAAATTGTTTGCCTCACCCTTTAGTTTCTTCGAAGAAGCAAGCTTCTTCTGAATTGTTTCCAATAGATACTCCTCCTGAGCTTGTATTCAGATGCAAGAATTCATCAAAAATGCTTGTGATATTGAATCCAAGGTCAGGTCGGGGTCGTTCCTCTAAAGTTTTCCATGAGATTGTGGAACCGATATTTAAGGTATCTTCTGTATCTTTTCCCTTACCAGTTTGTATAGGTTCTACTTTTGATCGTTCCACATTATGTATGGACTTGATTCATTGGAATGGGATGTCCTTAACCATGATTGCTGTTGTTAGTTTGTGGTTCTCTTCCTGTTCACCTAATCCACCCATAAAATGATTAGTGTCCATAATGTACTTTTCTCTTAGGTGAACTTGTGTTGATGTTTCTCTGTATCTTATGATTGTGCGATCTAATCTCTTATTATTATATTTCTCTGGATAATGATCTTTTGTTTTTGTTGTGTGCTTTATTCATTTTTCTATAAATTCCTGCTTCTTTCACTTGATATATGTCTTCTTTCCTTTCTCCTGTTATTCTTTTATAATTGTGTAGAAGAAATTATTCCTTACCTTGGGCTGTACTGAGTTTTCATGTTGTATATGCAAACTGTGACAGCTTGCTGGATTTAGATTGGAGGTAGTCAAGACAACATCTGCCGGCCATGCTAAAAAGCTGGCATCTACTGTTGATATCAGCACATGCCCTGATGGTAGTATTACTTGAATAAATACCTGTTCGAATTTTTCTTATGTTTTTAATGATTGTCATTATCATCTTATTCATTAACAGGAATCTAAATCAATCTAATTTTTTCAGGAATAATATGCATTGGTGGTGATGGGATTATCAATGAGGTTAGCCATGTCTGCTCTAGTTAAATTCTGATTCTTGTTTCCCTCTTCATTTTTTTTCTAGAGAATCTTTTGGTCAATTTGCCAAGGGTGCAAGAAAAAACTAGGCACTAGGACCCTTATATCATCCAAAGTGCAAGATGCAATAAAAGCGCTTGCCCTAGCAAAATAAGGTGCATATAATTATTGAATATTTAATGAACTCAAATGATTGTTCTGTGTCTAATCAATTTCTTAATTACAAGTATTAATCACCATAAGTAACTAAAAGTGTCATCATCAAACAAAAACTATATGCTCACTTTAATGTTCGCCTGAATAATTACCACCTACATGCTGTTTTTTTTTCATTGTTATCTACCACTTCAAAAGTTGATGGGGAAGTTAAAAGCCCTTTTAACTTTGAATTGTATCTCGCTGACGCCTGACATTCTAGTATAATTCCTTCCAAGACCTACAGTACTTTACCATCACCAGATTTTTTATCTCCATTGTGGGGGATGGTGAGGATTTTATGGTACTGGATGCATCGTTTTAGAATGTAAAGCTTCCTTGTTCTTTGGGTGTTGAGTTTTATTCAGTATTCTGCTGGTGTTTCTTTTTTTATCATTAAGTTTCTGGATCTTGGTAAATGTGTAGGTTCTAAATGGTCTGCTTAGTAGAGACAATCAGAAAGAAGGAATTTCTATACCTATCGGAATTATACCAGCAGGTTCTGATAATTCATTGGTTTGGACTGTTCTTGGTGTTAGAGATCCAGTCTCTGCCGCGATTTCTATTGTAAAGGTAATTCTATTTGGTATTCAAGATGAGATTTGCTTTTCATGCCAGTTATTCTGTTACTTCCTTCATAGAGTGATTTGTCGTGTTTTCCAAAACCAGTTTGATCCATGCGTCTGAAATTGGTTAACACCCTAACATGTTTTTGGATACCACATTTTTTTATAGTTGTATCAAATTACTACTTGCCTTTTTGTATCCTTACAGTTGAGCTCTTGTTGGTTTCAGGGAGGTCTAACTGCTATAGATGTTTTTGCTGTTGAGTGGATTCGGACTGGTGTTATTCACTTTGGGATGACCGTATCTTATTATGGTTTTGTCAGTGATGGTATGTATTGGTGATCCTGGTTAACACAATAGAATTCAGTTGGTTTCTATATCCAGTCAACCTCTGTTCTTTTGAATTGTGTTCAATCTATGTTTGCTTCATTCTAGCATACCTTGGCATCTCAACATGTGCCTGAATGTTACTTCCTATGATGCCTGAATTTTTAGTGTGAGTTAACACCTACTGACTATGATCCTTTAAAATGATTTAAGCATTCATCCTCATATATGCGGCACTCATGTAACTGGCTTTTAGAAAGGTGACTGATTTTCCTTTTCATCTTTTTTTTTTGATAGAAATAGTAGGCCTCATTAAAAACCTCCCTCATAGAAGTCCTTTACCCTAAGGCAAGAACCGTCTAGCGGAAGGAGGAAAAGAGTACCTCAAAATATTATTGATAAACGAATTACATAAGACTTAAACAAACCCCTATTACAATTGTTCTCTAAAACACACTCCTTTTCATCTTTTTTTGCATTCCTTGGGTTCAGAAAAAGGCTGTTTCTGTACTTCACCCTTTGCTATTTTCCCATTGTCACAAGTTTGTGTCTATAGTTGTAATCGCACCAGAAGTTCTCGTAGAATAGCCATCTTTGCGACTTTTGTTTGAACCTTTTGGTTTTAAGTTGCCTAAGGCACATTAGATTCAAAGAAGACACATATATATAGAATGTTTGAATGAAGAAAACCATTTAGGAGTGTATATATGATACTTCATAAAGCATCTCCGTATTATTGTTTCCTAATATGGGAATGATAATCTGTATGTTTGTATCCTTTTCCCCTGTCTTGCAGTCTTAGAACTTTCTGAGAAATATCAGAAGCCATTTGGTCCACTACGATATTTTGTTGCGGGGTTCCTAAAGTTATTGTGTTTGCCAAAGTACAACTATGAAGTGGAGTACCTCTCAGCAGCAAAAGAGGATCAAGAAGGTAAAACCTCTACTGATAGGGAGGTAGTCAACATGTCAGATCTTTATACCGACATTATGAGGAGGTCAAACACAGATGACATTCCCAGAGCTTCTAGTTTATCTAGTATTGATTCAATAATGACTCCCAACCGAGCGTCTATAGGTGAGATGGACACATGTAGTAGCACTCATGCCAGCACCGAACCATCTGAATACGTCCGTGGCCTTGATCCAAAGACTAAACGTTTGTCATTTGGGAGAAGCAATGTAACAGCTGAGCCTGAAGTTATTCACCCTCAGATACCACTCTCAACAACTTCAAACTGGCGAAGGACCAGATCGAAATCTAGGACAGATAAAGGATGGAGTGGATTGACTGCAGCACCTGATCCTTCTAGATGTTCTTGGGGTAATGCTGCAACAAATGATAGCGAGGATATATCTTCGACATTGTCCGATCCCGGTCCAATTTGGGATGCTGAACCAAAATGGGACACTGAAGCTAATTGGGATAAGGAAAATCCTATTGAGTTACCAGGGCCACAAAATGATGTTGATTCAGGAATAAAGAAGGAAGTTGCCCCAAGATTCGAAGATAAATGGATTGTAACTAAGGGACCGTTTCTTGGTATCCTTGTGTGCAACCATGCATGCAGAACAGTGCAGAGTTCTCAGGTGGTGGCTCCGAAAGCTGAACATGATGACAACACCATGGATATGCTCTTAGTTCATGGGAGTGGGCGACTTCGGTTGATTAGATTTTTCTTGCTTCTACAGATGGGTAAACACCTTTCACTGCCATATGTTGAATATGTCAAGGTAAACACCTTTGTTCCATGAACAATATTATATTTCAAATATATCAGCTTGGTTATTGCATCCATAAAAGTTCATCCACATTCAGGATTGTTGCTAAAATTGTTGATGCAACTGGTTTGAGCATGCGTTTCTTGGTGCTGTTACATACGGAAAGTTATCCCATGCTCTTTAATTCATTTTAGGGATATTTAATAGGTGTTTATAGACTTTTAATCCAACAGTTAGATCAGTGAATAATGGGTCCTATATGCATAAATATCAACGGATGATTTCAACCATCTAACTATAGCTTATATTAAAAATGGCAGGTAAAATCAGTTAAAATTAAGGCTGGGAAACACACACACAACGGTTGTGGCATTGATGGTGAGTTTTTCCCCCTTGACGGAGAAGTAGTGTTGTCGTTGCTTCCAGAACAGTGCAGACTAATCGGTCGATTCCCTGGCCATCATGTATGATGACCAAGAGACATGTTTTCTCTAGAAATGTTCTTTTTGTCTTATGTAGGATGCAAATGCTTTCTTCTAGACTTGCAGCACGGGAGTGTCGGAGGATACTTGTACAAGACAGATATTTGGTCTGATACTATAGTATTTTTCATGCTAAAACCCCTCCAATTTGTGCCATTACATACTGTTAATCTCTTTTCGTCTGTTGCTTTTTTGTTTGCTTCTTGTTAGTTCCATGGTATATACGCTTTTCTTCTGTTTGTTTTCTCTGTGAGCTTCTAAATGTACTGGATCAGAAAGAACACTTGATTTTATTTTATACCCGTGTCTTAAATTCTTTTACTCATAATATATACATGAGTACAAAGAAGGCTTAGGGTTTGAGGTTAAAAAAGAGTTGTTTTAGTGGGATTTTATACTCGCATTCTGGTTATGGAACAATCTTGAATAAACACCATCACTTACAGATATGAGCGTTGAATGTGAACCAATCTCTACAATCTTTCCTTTATCCATCACAACAATCACATCTGAGGATAATCTATGTGCAACTGTAATCTGTGTGGGTCTTGAAATGAACCCAAACTTACCCTTTCTTTCATCAACTGTCTCCAGGGCGTTTACTATGGTTCTTTCGGATTCCGAATCGAGTGCACTTGTTGCTTCATCAAGAAGCAAGATTGCAGGCCTCTTTAGTAAGGTTCTAGCAATGGCTATCCTTTGCTTTTGCCCACCTGAAAGTTGGCAACCTTTATCCCCAACAAGTGTGTTATATCCATCAGTCAAGTTGCTTATGAACTCATGTATGTTTGCTTCCCTTGATACCTCCATGATTTCTGCCTCGGAAGCATGTTCGGTCCCGTAGCAAATGTTGTCTCTTAGTGAGGAGCTGAAAAGAAGTGGCTCTTGTTGCACCAATCCAATTTGTCTCCTTAATGTCCTTAGATTATATTCCTTTATGTTCTTATCATCCATGAGAACCCTTCCCTGGTTTGGATCGTAGATTCTTAGCAAAATGGCTAGCACAGATGATTTTCCAGCTCCACTCGGTCCAACAAGTGCTACTTTTGTCCCCTTTTCAATTTGCAAACTGAATTTGTTGAGGACAGTCACTTCTGGCCTTAAAGGATAGTTAAATACAATGTTTTGGAATTTGATTTTCCCTTTGATCTTCTGTTGATGTGTATCCTCTGGTGTATTGGGTTCGATTTCAGTTCTGCGGTCAAGGGTCTCGAATACAGGAGTTAGGACATTGATTGCGGAAACGACTGCGGGGATCAATGTCCATAGTTCAGTGATTGAAGGTACTGTGAGGAAGAAAATCTGGTAAGCTCTTATACCGTCTTCGAACCGAGCTTGATTTTTACTAATCAAAACCGCTGTATACCATAAAGCAACAGCATGTGCAATGTTCCATAAACAAAGGGAAAAGCCTTGAATGATCCCATACTTGATACTTTCTTTCCTGTTCCTTTTCATTGGCTCTTCCAGGGACACCCTGGCTTTCCTCATTATGTGCTTTTCATAGCAAAAGGACGCTATGGTTCGTATATTGGTGGCAGACTCGGAAGCAAGGGCGACAACTTCATGGTGGCTAGCAGCAGAGTCACCGGCAAATCCTTTGGTAGATTTAGCCTGAATGAGTCCGCCAATGAAGTGGCAAGGCATCACTGCCCAAGCTACAAGAGCCATTCTCCAGTTAACAATCATGCTAACAACTGTTGCAATTAGTATCGAGGAAATACATTGGACAATAACTGACATCCAATAGGAAATTATGGTTTTGACCATGGTGTTGTTGATGACCCTTGACGTAAGTGAACCAACATTGTTCTCGGGTTTCTCGAACCAAGCTAATTCGTTTCTTAGTATACCTTCATGAATTTAATGCAACGGATGTTAGCATGTGGATAATAATGAAGTATTTTTCAAAATTGTTGATGGGATAACTAGTACCTGAAAATAGAGCTTGCCTGAGATTTCCCATGTTCTTTTCTCCAACAACTCCATAGAAATAACGCTGCAGGGTATGCATGAATAAAGTAAGCAATCCTATTAGAGAAAAGGCAATGGAATACCTTCCAACTATCTGCTTTGCATCTTTGATGTAGTATGCTAGTCCCACTGTTATAATGAAGAATCCGAAAAAAGGCTTTGAAACACCCGCAAAAGCTGCTGCTATGGAACCTGTTGCGATCTTTTCAAGCTCTCTTCTTCCTAGGCCAAACCAGATTCTGAGGAACGTAATCATGGTGTTTCTCCTTTTCTTTCCCTCGTCCTCGGAATAATCACTACGATAGTCCTTGAGATATCTTGTTTCCTCCTTTCCCTGGGTGTCTTGTGGTGAAAACTGGTCATTGGCACTAACAAAATCCTCTGAGAATTCATCAGCCCTGTATTGTCCCACACATTCCAAGTAGGTTAAGAGTTTTATAAAAGTGGATGTAACTCAGGGTAGGGAATGCCATTTATATCAGTTTTCGAACTTCAGACCTATTGGATTTTAGGTCACAAGATTCGAAACTCGAACCTACCTTGACTCGTGAATTTGTCCAATGTTCAGAATGCTGAACAAATTGTTGTAGAACTTGCTAGAGTCTAAGCTGCGGTGCATACCGGTTTCGGTTACTTGTCCATTCTCCACAACATCAATTATATCAGCATTGATAATGGTTGACATCTTATGTGCAATCAGAATAACAGTCCTCCCTCGCATAGACTTCTCCAAGGCTTCTTGAACCAGTTTCTCCGACTCGGAATCAAGCGCACTTGTTGCCTCATGAGTAAAAGAATAGGAGGATCCTTAAGAATAGCTCTTGCTATTGCAATTCTCTGTTTCTGTCCCCCTGATAACTGTACTCTTTGGCATACCTGCATGGATGTTACATAACTATAGAGCCTAAAATCCATACAAAGTAGTGAAAACGGAGGCTAGATGGATAACCTCGGTTGAATACTGATTTGGATGTTGAGTGATAAAACTATGTGCATTCGCCATTATGGCCACATCCAGGACCTGTTGATTGCTTGCATTCATGTTTACTACTTTGATATTATCCTTGATGGTACTGGCAAAGAGTGATGGTTCTTGGGATACTGCTCCGATGTTCTTTCGGAGGAACTTCAAATCGAGATCCTTAATGTTATGATTGTCAATGAGAGTCTCCCCTACAATGTGCAAGCAAAGTTTATTAGATAGAAGCCTTGCTTGAATGAAAACTGCAGGTATTTGCATAGAAGAAAATGCAAACCTTTGGAGGGGTCATAGAACCTTTCAACTAAGGAGATAACAGTACTCTTTCCACAACCACTGCTTCCTACTAAAGCAACCATCTTTCCTACTGGAATTGACAGTGAAAATCCTTCAAGGATCGGTTTTTCTGGCCGAGAAGGGTAAGCAAAGTATACATCAAATATTTCGATGTTTCCCCTGATCTTATGAACCTTCTCCTTCCCCATTGAATCATAGCTTATAGCCTTGAAAACCTCGTACCCTGCAGCCTTTGCTTGATTGAATATTTGTACGTCTGGTGCGGCAAAAGTAAGTGATCTGCAAGTTTAAAGAAATTGGTATCACATATATGTACAAATACGTGGAGACCAGATTGAAACAGTTAAACTCTGGGTCTTTTCTTATATGGAACCGAAGAGAATCTCATCACCGCAGCGATAACATCGCCCCCTTTAGCTTTCCTAGAAGTCACTGCAAGAGCTCCAATCCATATGATCAAAGCCCAAGCACAAAAGCTCACAGATTGTAACATGCCGGTTCCAACTCCTTTTATCAGTGCTCTCCTTTGCTTAATGAGAACAGCTTCTCCAAGCTCACAGAGAACGATTTAATCGCCGAATTCTCCCCAACAAATGCAAATACTGTTTTTATTTGAGAGAGAGTCTGCGGCAAATAAACCTTGCATGTTATCAACTGATATAACTTATACACTAAAGTATCATATGTATTAATCATCTTACTGGTAAAAAACCTAAACATATGGAGTGAGATTGCTTTACCTGTTCCACCATGGATGTTGCTTCCGATACGAAAAGCGTCTTCATAGCTGAAATAGTATTCATTTTCTTAGTGTAGGTCCCTCCGATAACACGAATAGTAGGGGCAACCACCAAGGTAAGAAGGGACACTTCCCAACAGCATATGACGGCAATTAAGATTCCACAAAACAATGTTGCAAAGCTTGAGAGAAAATGGCCCAGCTGATAGTCAAAAGTTAAGTTAGCAATACATACATATACATACAAACGATCTACCTTCTCTCCTATTGCATCTTGTATGACACTCATGTGATAAGTTATTCCACTAATGATTTCCCACTTGTTATATCTGTATCAAATGCTCCAATCTCCTGGCAGAGCATTGCTCTCAGATATGCTAACCGTAATCGTGCCATTTGTCGTTCACTTGCATACATCCAGCAACCAATCTCTGCAGAAGCTCAAAATCATAAAAATGAAGCAAAAGAAGGGAGTTTTAGGGACCCACTTATACATATATATGTATTAAGCAGAGGGTAAGTACCTAGTATGCCAGCTGGGAATGTAGCAAAAGCCATGTACCATACAAAGGGAACAACCTACACAAACAGACAAAGAAGAAAGTACGTTCATAATCTAATGTGAAGTGGTCTTCAAATTTTAACAGTGGGTATATATACTTTCTCGAGTGCTTTAAACGTGCCATGATTGTCGCCAAGGTTGTCCCCGAAAGCATTGAGAGCTTTTCCGAGTAAAAGATATCCAACAGGTTGAGCCATGCCATGGATTATGGACCCTAAAGTCCCTAATGCCATAAGAGTCCAATCAAGAGTATCTGCATAGCTCAAAAGCATATAAAATGGCAAAGCTTTATTAGCAGCCTCCCCAATCTTCTTCTCTTCATCTACTTCATTGTGCTTATCTTCTACAGGGGTTTTCGGAGCCATAGGCAAGTAGGTGTGAAGTGTTTGTTGAATCTTGAAGATACTCTTGAACTTTTTGCCTCGTCGATGTAGATTTATAATACTTGTAGTTGTTTAGGAAATAATGTATTGTATCATATGGAACAAAGAACATATAATGGATATGCCATGGATATGCTTTAAAATATTAGAGTGAAGTGAATTGTTTAACTTGTTTTCTCCTTGGAAAAATCCCATATTTCTGTTTTTGCATGGCGTGCCTGTATGACGCTCAAAATCCAAGTAGAAGTAAACATAGAGATTCCTTAGAAAATCCCAGGTTGACCTGCAAACTAGCTGCAATTATAAGACAATCGTAAAGTTAAAAATTGAAGACGGCGGTCTACCTCATTTAAAAATGTTAAACATTAAATGTATTATAATATAAATATAAAGTTTTATATTTTTATTTTTAAAGAAATATTATGATAAATTTATTTTTAATGAATTACTTTTAAAAGATTTTAAATTAGGTGGTTTGTAGAATTTGGGATTATTTTAAAAAAATAAACATTAAATTCATATTCAGAAAATAAAAAAAACAAACTGAATATTTTAAAATCTAATAATTATCGACGATAACGATTGATAATGGCCGATAACGATAATCGAGGACAATAATAAGTGACGGTCAACCATAAAAACTTTAACAAAATTTAAATAATAAGCTAATACTTATTTAAAATTTGTTTAAAAATTAAATTAATAATTATGTAAAATTTAAGATAAAATTAATATATCTAAATTTTAAGAGATGAATTAAAATTTAACCGTTTTTATTAACGTGACAAACAAACGATAATTAATGATTCAATGATCAAAATATAATAAACCAATAATATAAATGATTAAAACGTAATAATTTTCAAAATTGATGATCAAAATCAAATAAACTGAAAACAAAAGGATCATAAGTGTAGTTAACCCAAAACATAAAGATAAAAACTCCACCAATATGATTCCGGTCATACAATCAAGTTTTTCCACTAATAAAGTTCTAGCTTAGAATAACTATATAATAAGCATACAAGATCATGAAAGCAACAAAACGCCATTTTAAAAGTTCATCGGTGGATGCTGCTGCAGACTCTAAAATATCATCACTTCACAATGCAGATCTTAATAACTGAAGCAGCACCGATCCGGTGAAGTACAACGGCGCATCACCAGGTTTGCATAACCCCTTCTCCATAGCTGATTTTAGTGCGGCTTCCAAGATAACCTCGGTGGATTCGGCATCGGTTGCCTTTCCTGAGCCTTCTGCCAGTATAGGAACCAAGCCCCTATATATCAGACTGTGTCTTGCCGGCCGTTCGTCGCTGCAGGTCCAATCGAATGAATCAGTTGTCAATACAGGGACAACCACAGACAGGATTGGAACTGCCGGTCTGTACTTGGCAACCAACTTGGCTGTTGTTCCACCACGAGTTAGAACGACAATGAGTTTGGCTTTAGCCTTGTTAGCTGTTCGTACAGCAGACGATGCGAGACTCTCCAATGTGCTCATCGGAAGCGGAGTTGATCGGATCATTTCTTTAAAGATTGCATCGTAGTCAAGGGAGGATTCTGCCTCGATACAAATTCGAGCCATGATCTTTACAGCAAGCTCCGGATATGCCCCAGCAGCACTCTCACCACTGAGCATGACACAATCCGTACCATCAAGGACAGCATTAGCAACATCAGTAGCTTCAGCTCGGGTTGGTCTTGGAGACTTGATCATAGATTCAAGCATTTGAGTGGCAGTAACAACTGGCTTGCCTGCTATATTACACTTGTATATCATCATCTTCTGGGCTAGGAAGATTTTCTCCACCGGAATCTCCATTCCGAGATCACCACGTGCAACCATAAATGCATCAGTCTCACGCAAAATCTCATCGAAGTTGACGACACCCTCCTGGTTCTCAACCTAAAAGAATCACAATAACCGTAGTACTTGTTAGTCTAAAATGAGAAACAAGAATCGTAATAGCCAATGAAAAGCAATGTCAAAGAAGGCAATCAATGGCATCTAAGTTTAGGAAATTTATAAACAACATTAGCACAGTATAATATACAATTTAAGATGAAACTCGTGTGCTGTCGGACACAAAAAACAACAAAATAGGCAACGGTCTTCTTCTCATTGGAACAAATATGTCAGCCTAGGTCTTCTTCTCTTAAGATGAAACCCATGTGCTGTCGAACACAAAAAAAAAACAACAAAACAGGCAATGGTGGTATTCAAGTTGTAATAAAAAAAAGTAGTCATTTAGCACAAGAACGAGGCCCCTACTCTAGTTGAATTAACATTTGCATCGCATAAAGAAACCACATAGAATCTGATCAATAATCACGATTCAACAGTGAAACATAAGAAGATACCTTCGACATCAATTGAATCTGCTTTGCATGGGAACCAAGAACCTTACGGACATTAACAAGATCAGACCCTTTGCGCACAAATGAAAGAGCAATCATATCAATACTGTTGGGAACTCCCCATCCTAAGATATCTTCCTTATCCTTTTCTGTGAGCGTTGGAAGATCCACCACAACACCGGGAAGGTTGACATTTTTCCGCTCACCAAGCATAGCAGTATTCTCACACCGGCATCTCACGGTTCCAGCAGAAGGATCACAGGCCAACACTTTCAGTGTGATCGTACCATCTGCACACAAAATGGTGTTTCCCGGTTTCAGATCAACAGCCAACTTTTTGTAGCTCATGGAGATCATATTCTCGTCTCCCTTGATGTCATAATTAGTAGTTATAGTAATTTCTTGGCCCTCCTTAAGTTGAACAGGTTTCCCATCCTTCAGGAATCCAGTTCGAATCTCAGGACCCTGCAACAACAACAACAACAACAACAAAGTCAATCAAACACAAACTACCATCTCAACGAAGGAAACAAGCACCTTAGAACAAATAGAAAACAAAACCCAGACAATCTTATGACCTACGTTATTCAAACTCGGGCTTGAGTCTAGGATACAGGTCATATCTACTTGTCTGACAGTTCAACACCTGACAGTCAAACACGGGTATTTCAAGAAGAATCAAGAGTCTGAGACCCGTTACTTGTTATTTTAACTTCATTAAACATTACAGACAAAAATCCATATAGGCGTTCCTGGTTACTAACGTAGATAATTTCTGCGCTTAGTATTAGGGACGGACCAAGGGGTGCTGAGAGTGCGGTTGTATCCTCTGAAATTTTAAATCCTTTAGATATTTTCTATTAATAATCTAATTTCGCAACCTGAAATTTTATAATTTCAGAACCTCTGAAATTTTTAATATTACCAGCTCGCACCACTAACATAAATTTCTACTTACGTCCCTCCTGCTCAGAAATGTCAAAAATCACAAAATGATTTCTTTACTATCTATAACCTGACCCCTTTTTTCCATTCAAAGGCACAGATAATGTTAAAATCGGAAAAACTAGGATATAATGGTATAGGGTAAAGGAACCTTGGTGTCAAGCATCACGGCGCAGAGAATGCCAGTATTATGCATAGCAGCCCTGAGATTGTCCAAGGTCTCCTGGTGATACTCATGGCTGCCATGAGAGAAATTGAAGCGAGCAACGTTCATCCCGGCCCTCAGCAGCTTCTCGATCATGGGCAACGATCGTGATGCTGGACCCAGAGTGCACACGATTTTGGTTCTGGGGATACGAGCGTCATTCGGTTGCTCCTTCAAGATTCCATCAATGTCTATATTCGCCATTCCCTTTGTTTTGCTCACTTACTCAACAATAATACCTGCACCCATCATCAAACAAATCAAAATCAAAGTAAAATAAGTGAGAGAAAAATAAAAGAAAAGAAGGGGAAGAAAGTAGTAAGAAGAAAACTGAAGTATTTGAATTGAAACAAACTACCCAAAGTGCAGGAAGATTTGAGGAACATCAAAACAACAGAGATGGGTTTTGATTTGTATAATAAAAGCAAAACAAACATATGCAAACAGAAATCAAAGTACAACAGAATTGCTTGTTCATTTAGACTGACAATGAGATACCTTAACAAAAAGAAAACAGGGAGAAATCTGGGTTTTGGAGAAGAGAAACAGTGGGTGGTGGTGGGATTTGTAGTATGACAGGAAGGAATGGAGGAGGAATAATATAAGGACACGTGGTGGTAGTAGATGGCACAAAATGGTCGTGTACTGAGTGTTGCTTTTATTTACCATTTTTTTACCACATCCTTGGAACAGCAACGTAACAGGATGGGTTAATGGCGGTGGGGTCGGTGGTTTTGTATCTATGGGCGTCTCCCATCGTTTTTGGACCACTGTCTCTGTGGGCCTCAAAAGACCCGCCTCAAAAGTTTATACTGGTGGAATGTCTCATGAGACGCACTCTACACCACCTGGGAGTGTTGCTGAAGAATCACCACCTGGGAGTGGAACTGAAGAATCATCCCCTGGGAATGATGTTGAAGATACTGGTCATATACAACGTTCTGGTGTTGAAGCATTTTCTTCGTGTGACATCATGCCACCCACTCATATTGATCAGACTGCCCCTGGTCAAAACATTCATCTCATGGTTACACGTGGTAAGAATGGAATACGGAAACCTAATGTGTTAAATGTGTCATTGAGTGATAAGGAACCTACAACAATTTATGAGGCGCTTCTTCACTCCCATTGAAGGCTGCTGCACAGGTGAATTCGATGCTTTGACTCGCAATGAAACCTGGACATTGGTCCCTCTTTCTAAGGGTAGGAGAGCTGTGAGTTGTAAATGGCTTTTTAAAATTAAAAGAAACGCTGATGGCTCCATTGCACGTTACAAAGCTCGTCTCGTGGCTAAAGGATTTCTTCAGCAACCCGTGATTGATTTCAATGAAGTGTTCAGTCCTGTGGTAAAACCAGTTTCTGTTCGAGTCATTATTTCACTCGTTTTAGCCAAAAGGTGGTCTCTCAGGCAGGTAGACATCAACAATGCCTTTTTAAATGGTCACTTATCTGAAGAAGTAACATGCATCAACCTCCGGGTTATGAACAAGGCGATGGTAATATGGTGTGCAAGTTGAACAAAGCAATATATGGCCTGAAACAGGCACCCCGAGCATGGTTTGAGAGCCTCAAAGGGTACTTGATCTCAGAAGGTTTTGATGTATCAAGATCAGATGCTTCCTTGTTCGTTCGCAGAACCAGTGCTGGTATGATTTATCTACTGGTCTATGTAGATAATATTATTTTAACAGGAAGTTGTGCGAGTGAAGTACAAACTGTTATAAACAAGCTTCATGCAAAGTTTGCCTTGAAAGATCTTGGACTCCTTAAGTTCTTCCTGGGCATCGAAGTCCACTATGGCTCGAATGGTTTAGTTGTAACACCCCCAACCCGTACCCGACCCGAATACGAGTCTGAGGTGTCACATTGACTTTTCAAACTTTGACTCTCGACAAAATTCAAAGAAAATTTAAATCTTTCATTAAAGTAAAAGCGATTTAGATACATAAATTGACCACAATACCCAAAATCAATCAGAGCATAACTAATTCAACCAATTAGTACATGCCAACTATACTCAAAATAACCAAAAACATTTAAATCCTCTATTTTCTGATCTGAAATTTTGTAAGAGAGGTGCTGACCTGTCTTACTCTTCTTCTCTTCTCTTCTCGCTTCAGTAACCTACGTGTGAAACAATCACACGCTAAGTCGATGACTTAGTGAGGCATAAAAAAAACACATATAATGAAATTCATACCCACTAATCATGCATGACTGTTTTATGCTTTCAAATCATATAGCTCATTTATATATACATCAACATATATATACACTTGTACCATGTCACGATAAACACACATATCATTATATCAAAACATACATATTTATGTACAATCATTTCTATTATTATCAATTTGTACATTAGTCCTTATAATTTTATACTCTTATCCATAATATCCTTAATTATCACATCATAGCACATATATCAGTTCACAACGAAATAAACATATAATCATACCAAGTTTATTTATCTTATTATTTTTATTAGCCCATGAACACATGTGAGAAATGTAGATATGTGAGTCTATAGAGGTTGTGCACTAATGTTGTCACCACAGCTCGTATAAATGCACCGAAGTGCCACGTAGAATTGCACCGTAGTACCGCGTAGAAATGTACTGAAGTGCCATATAATAATGTCCATAAGGACCACATATCATTCCTTAAGAATCATATACATATACTAGGGATCAAGTATGTGTCTCACAAGACTTCACACATGTTCCAAAGAATATATATATGTCCCGAAGGACCGCGTAAACCCTCGACTCTTGGCATGCCAACTATACCCCTAGCTCTCATGACACATAACATGGGCATTATCATTTATGTCATTTCACATGTTCACATATTAATATTACCTGGGCACGTAGTCTCATAGTTTTTGAACATAGCTCATTATTACATTTTCATATAATCACATAGTCATATAGTTCACTTACACGTAGATCATTTCCATATAATTCACATGTCACATATCTCAGGTTCTTGTATTCATATAACATATAATCACATAGTTTACTTTCACATATACATGTTCTCATATAGTTTATATCATTTCTAACACAATCACATTTATTCATGTTTAGTATTTCATCTAAACCGTATAATAATGGCATATACTCATATCACCGAATAACTTCACCTGAATATATCTTTTGTTCATTTCAATGCTTAAATCATATAACACATAAGTTTTCCTTATGTTATTTATGCTACTTATTCATATAATCTTATGTTATCTCCTAGGTAAATGCTACCTAACTTATCTTATTTTCCATTTATACCAGTTTAATCTATTTATTTAGTTAAATTTTACTTAAATCCTATATCATAATTCTCTTTAAATATACTTCTTCTCTATAACACTTATCTTATAGTTTGGCATCATCATTTATACTCAATTCCCTTCACTAATATATTATTCTCATATCATTCTATAGTCTAATCTTATTTAACTCATCACCCTTCTCCTGTAGTCATATAAATCTATTATATTGATTCTTATAATTGATCACATTTACTATGTAACATGTATGGTCACCTATCATATAACCTATTTCCCATTCTCATGTAATCATATAGATCATTCATATTAATTCCTATAACTTATCACATTGCATGCATTCACACAAATCATTTAATACATACTATAATATATATATCACATATACCCAAATCAAACATATGCATATGATCATACATTCAGGCCTTCTAATATAGGAAATAGACTTGTCGCAAGTCTTATTTCCGTTAAACATCATAAACTAACTTGTATGCACTCACATGGCCTCACTAGTCAATTCCAATCTCTTATCTTTCCCCTTGATTGATCTTACTTGTCAATGATTCCGGAATTGATTAGGCTCTGAATCTACATAATTATACATTTTAAGACAATTATTAGATACCTATACCTTGTAATTTGATACTAACAACTTAAACGAACTTATTAAACCAATATTCACAATTTTCCTTTAGGGGGAATCGGTTCCCTACTATGGGGGTATCGATTCCCTCATGACATTCTGGAAAGTTTTGTTCGTTTGAAGGGGTATCGGTTCCCCTTGAATGGGTACCGATTCCCTTTGCCCAGAAATCATATTTTTAGCTCGAAAATCACTTCATTTTCAGATCAACACTTCATACTTCACTCCCTTTAATATTCCTAACTTTCATACACATACTTAAACTCATTTCTACTCCATAATTACTTATTTTAACTAAAAATTCTATCATTTACATGGCATTCAAGAATCACACTAAATTTCCAACATGTTCTAAAACACATTCTATCACTTCATATCTCTTAATTTAACCCTTGACAAGTCAAATTAAACTTCAAAATCTATTAACTCCTTCTATTTCAAAAATTCACTTAAAAACTCATTTTTCTTAATTTCTCATAACTTTCTATTCTTTCAGTTTTAAGCTACCTAAAGTTTTCCTTAATCTCTCTTAGCATCCCAAGAATCAAAACAAGCTTTAAAACGAAAGAGTTAACCAACTGAAGACCCACTTACCTTATACAAGGCTTCACGGTGGAGAGGAGGAAGAAGAAGACTGGAGAATACTCTGGAGAAATTATCTCTTTCCCACGTTTTTATATCCCTTAAAAAGAGAATAAAAAAATCCTCTTAGAAAAGACCATAATACCCTTGTTATTTCCAAACTTTACCATTAAATCCAACATCAACTTTCCTCAATTAAATCCATGAACTTTAAACTTATTTCAAAATCGAGCACATAGTTTTTAAAATTTGCAATTTAGTCACTGACCCTGATTTAGGATGTTACAAATCTCTCCTCCTTAAAAGAAAATTTGTCCTCGAATTTTCACTGCACACATTGATAAGAACATGTCTGCTAATGTTCTCATGTTGTTTCCTTTACTTAATCTTAATTTCCCTTAGTTCTTCAATTACTTTTTTTACATCCCTTATCATGTCACTTATCATATAACCAATATCATCAGTTCTTATCACTCAAAATCATTAATCAATCAAATTCCTTATCAATATTTAATTACCTTACAGTAATAACGAACTTTTATTCCATCAATGCTTAATTTCTTCTTAAATTTCCTTAATACATATAAATTATTCTTTATTCCTCTGACTAAATCTCCTTGACCAAGAAACATAACCTTTATCACATCTGATTCTTTAAACTTTTTCCTTTCATTTCCTTATTCCATTATTCCTTTATTCATTCAAAAATCAAAATCTCCTTATACACAAATCATATATATTTTCTTTCATGCTCACATACTCTTTTCCTCTCACTTATGCTCATCTCTGATTACTAATCTTTATCATCTCTTCATAACTTTGATAATCAATACTCCTTGCACATACCTTATTCTTCATAAAGTCCTTATTCAAATCATAATACACACATACTTGACTTCCTTCAAACATATTAATCCTTTACTCTTTCTAGTCGAACTAACTCAGCATTAATTTATTTGACTCATTCAACTCACATTCTTACTCATTCACAATGCAATTCCTAGGTTCAAACTCAGGCATTACAA